CCCGGTGCATGGAGCCTGCTTCTCCCTCTGCCTGTGTCTCTGCCTCTCTCTCTCTCTCTCTCTCTCTCTCTCTGTGACTATCATAAATTTAAAAAAAAAAAAAGAAATAAAGTGGAGAAGATGAACCAGATGCCAGAATTTTCCATGGATGAAGAATAATGGTCAGGAAGCGAGCAGAGGAAAATAGGAAGAGGCAGGTGAGTTTTTAAGGCAGCAGGACTTTTCCATTTATATAGAAAGACAGTGAACTGTTTGCAGGAGGTCCGGAGGGGCTGAGAGCCTGGGGCATGGGAGGATTCCTCTGTGTGGGCAAACGCTGCAGGCAGGTTTCTGCCAACACAGGAACACGGAGAAAAAGGAAGAGTGTTTGCAAAGGTCAAGGGTAAAAAGGGAGAGTTGTTTGCTATGCTGCTGGTCCCAGAGGAAGCAAGGAAAGTCTTGAGAGAATGAATTAGCGTAGAGCAGTGGTTCTCAAAGTGTGATCCAGACCAGCATTGGAACATGTTAGACAAATTCTCAGGTTTCACCTGAGAACTGGATCAGGAACTCCGGAGCGAGCCAACAATCCGTGCTTTCACAGGCCTTCCACGTGGAGAATCACGTTTGATTCCCGAGACTGAGAGTCCTGGGTGTGAAGGCAGCACAGAGCAGCCTGGGGGGAGGGGCTGCTCGGGAAAGGGGTGGGCAGAGTCGGGGTGGGGTGGGGAGTGACCTCACTGTGTGGATAGCACCAAGAGTGACAAGGAGAGAAGCCAGGTGGGATTCATTGCCCTCAGGTTTTCATAGGGAATTCTGTGGTCAGTTACTTCGGTTTGGGGACACACTGAGGTTTCAGCCCTGTCCCAGCACTGATGAAAATGCTGACTTAGGACTTCCGTTTGGGGGAAGATTTTGTCATAGCATCAAAGCCTTTAGAAGGCGTAGATACCTTCCAGGATTCTTTTTTTTTTTTTTTCCTTCCAGGATTCTTAATTTCATAGTAGAAAGGGCAGCTGCTGCTGGGGCATAGAAAAGCTCACATCTGCCCCAAGAGTCACTCTTATTCAAATCAGACTATCTGCCCAGTCTCTTGGACTGCTGTGTTTCAAGGTCTCTCTCTTGGCATTGGGGAAAGCATGATCTCGTGGAGAACCAGTAATAATTCATCATTGTCATAAATAATAATAATAATAATAATAAAAGAACATCTCCTGTTGTCTGGCTCGCCTCTCAACTCATCTTACTCCAAATTCTGTGGCTTATTTGCTGTTTTCAAATGTGCAGCCCATAGGCCGGGAGCTCTCTGCTGGCCTTGCTTCTCTCTGGCGTGCTCTTCCCCACATAGCCCTGCAGCTCCTCTCCTCCCCTCTTCCAGCTCTTGGCCCCAGGGTCTTCTTTTCAATGATACCCATCACGGCCACCCTGTTTAAAATCCCAGTGCCCTGCACAACACTCCCATGCTCCCTTCTCCTGCCTGCCTTTCTCTCACCTCCTTACAGACCAGTATTTTACTGGTGATGTATATTGCTTGTTGAAATGCCTCCTACCCCTAGACTGTAAGTGCCTCCAGGGTGAGGAATTTTGTCAGTTTCTCCCTGACGTAGCCCAAAGGCCTAGAAAAATGTCAAGCTCATGGTAAGCTCTCAGGAAAAATTGTGTTGAGTGAATGAATAAATGGATGCTTATTGGGTCCAGACATTGTGCTAAAGAAAGGCTTTACTTTAATATCACTTTTAGTCTCACAATAATCTTGGAGGGTGTATATTATTCACCATCATTGAACAGGAAAGGAAACTAAGACCCAGAGAGGTTAAGTAACTTCCCAAAGCCACAAAGCTAGTGTGGTGGAGCCCACCTTCATATGACGCCATGGTGCGGGTTTTTGACCATACCTCTGGGTCTGAGGGCTTCAGTGCCCACCCTGTTGGTTTATTCTGCTGCCTGAGAGGTACTGGTTCCTTTCTAATAACTAATAATTCAGCTTCCCTTTTCTGTAATGAAGCTACGCCTGTAGACTCCCTGCCATCCCTCCATTTACATTTTCACTATTCCTGTCATGTATTTTAAAGACAGGGAAGACAGATCCCTATTTTGGGTAGCCCAACACTTCTGTGAAGCTGAAAACTGGGTAAAATGGAAACTAAAAATACCTTGTATTCTTTTCCATTCTTTGAGTTAGTGACTTCTTGAGATGCTGTGAAAGCTAATGAAATAATATCTCTACATTTTTTCAGTGGAAATAGGAAGAACCAGAAATACTCATGCACTAGGAACCCAGCATATATCCTTCTGAATGTAGCATCCCATTTACTGATACAGGCTTATAAGCACACCCTGGAGTTAGATTATCTTGGTTTTAGGAGATTTACGGTGGCGCCCAGGCCTTTCCCACCTGGTCAGACACATGTGCTGCTGCCAGTGGGAAGCATCAGCCTTGGCTCTAGCTAGATATTACTAGATATTACAACAGCATTATGAGATTAGTAAATACACCAGAAAACACCTTCTCAGCGGTCTTCACTCCTCGATGGAGATGGTTATAACCAGGGCCTGGGGTCTGGGATGCTACTTCCCACACTAGAAATAAGAACAGAGAGGTATCAACAAAAAAGACTGGGGCGGGGGGTAAGGAATCCCAGAATTTCCTATCTGGGCTCTGGTCTGATAACCCACGTCTTTACTCCCCTGGTCTTTTATCTCTCAGTACATGTTCCCCTCCTCCCACTGAAAACAACACAGCTCTTAGATTAGTCCCCCAGCTTCTGACTCCAGAAACAACGAGGCCCCTGTATAGTTACCAGGACTCACTCTTACTTGGCATCATCTATGGGCCAGTTTAGGACAAGTCCTCTGCAAGAAACAGTTACTCCAGATTTGCATCTCCCAAGATTCTGCCTCTTATATCTTAAATTGGCAAAACACTACCATCCCCCGAGCATTGGTACTAAAGAGCGATGGAGGGTAGGCCAGGTGGCTCAGCGGTTTAGCGCCGCCTTCAGTCCAGGGCCTGATCCTGGAGACCTGGGAACAAGTCCCACATCCTGCTTCTCCCTCTGCCTATGTCTGCCTCTCTCTCTCTCTGTCTGTCTCTCATGAATAAATAAATCAAATATTAAAAAAAAAAAGCGATGGAAGATAGACATGGTTTTCGATCTTGACTCCAACTCACACTGGCTATACAGGTAGGTGACCTGGTCTCTCTCTGAACGTCCTCGTCTATAGGATAGGGACATTCTTTTCCATCTTGCATTGTTGGTTTGAGGACTGGAGTTCATATATGTAAGGTTCTTGCCAATTGATAAGCCATTAATAAGTAACTGAGTATCTTCATGTTCTACGGCACTGTCCACTTTATCTCTTGATCCTATTTTAACAACCTAAGAATTTTAAAATCCTGAAAATCTAAATGAATTTCTAGGCTGAAGTTATTTATAATGTAGTTAAGGTGCTGGCTACAAGAGTTTGGTTGCTAAAGGACTGGTATAGCTTGGGATGGAGAGTTATCCCTGGAAAGATCATGAATTAAAGATTCATTTAACTAACATTTTTTTTTAATCTACTATGTTGTTTGGCCCTATGCTAGCCACTGAGAACATAGAAGAAGTAAGGTCTGGCTCCTGTCCTCATAGGCAATGGGCAAGAGAGAAAAGCACAGAAATCATTGCAAGGTCTAGACAGAGTAGAGGTGGAAATTTTCTTCATTCCGACCCAGAAAACCCCTTCAACAATGACTTTATCATTACCAAGAGCCCTGAACTTGCTTGGAATTGTGACAAGGAATCAGGTTGCCATGCCTTTTGGCTAACAGGGGGTCGAGGGGGCAAAGCTCTGGCTTAGAAACCAATAGACTTAGTTTCTTCATCCCCAGATTTAACACTGGATTGGAGACAACGTTCTGCTCTCCAGATCTCAGTTCCCAGCTGTTGAGGAAGGAAATGTGAACAAATCTCCTTTCTGACAGGTTTAATATGAAAACATTTAATGATAAAGTGCTTCAAGCTCCATAGGAAAAAATGCCAAGGCTATACAAATTCATTGCCACTTTGCCACATCACCAAGTTCAGTCTTAGCAATGTATGCCTTGGAGGAGAAATATAAGAGTTATAAATTAAACTGAAATATTACTCATTTGGAGTTGCAAGATGTACTGGATTCAGCTTCTGTGCTACCACAAATCTGCAAGCTTGTCTTCACATCTGGTTTGGGCAGCCCTAGTAAAGGCTCTGCACTCCTGCAGTCATGGGGCCAGGTGGCTTTTGGGACTGTGGCCACTCCCTGTTCTTCATGTTGCTCAGACATCACCTGACAGTCCTTCACTTCATCTCTGAGCCAAATTTCTGGCCCCTGCTGCCCAGGGCTTCCCTGTGTTTTTGCAGGACCCACTTGGTACCCAAGCATATATAACCTGGAAGTGCAGAGGAGCTAATGCCCCATGACGGCCGACATGAAAAGTCCCCACCAAGCAATCAGAGATGGGAGCTGAGGATAAAGTCTGCCATTCTCCCTCTGGATGCACTGGTGGGGGAATCCAGTAGCTTCCTCTCCTGCAAAACATACCACCTGCTCCTCAGCACACTCCCTACATTCACTCAGCCTCGTTTCTCACCTCATTTCCTCTGTCCTCCCTCCAGCCTCCCCAGGATTGCACTTGCAATAAAGGATGAATCTGAGATTTTTTTGCCCCAGGCACTGTATTTTCAGGAAACATGGGTAGAGACAAAGAATATTATAACTGAAGTTGACCTCAGAGATATTCTATTTGAAGGTTTTTGTTTTATAGAAAAGAAAACCACAAGCGATGGGGCTGAAATAAAGTGAATTACTCAAACCACAGTCTCCAGGCTGCCAGTTCATGATACTTTAAGGAACATCACACACACACACACACACACACACACACACACATATACATGTAAATACATATATATACACACATCAACGTACTTATACACACATATACGTTGCGTGTATACATACGTTTATTTAAAATGTTTTTTATTTGCCTTTTCTGCCCCCCTCAGAAATAGCAGACAAGATCTACAATCTCTTCAATGGCTATACCAGTGGGAAGGAGCAACAGACAGCCTATAACACTCTCCTGGATCTGGGTTCCCCCACCCTGCATCGAGTCCTCTACCATTATAACCAGCACTATGAGAGTTTTGGAGAATTCACCTGGCGGTGTGAGGATGAATTAGGTCCCAGGTAACCAAGAAACTCCATTGCTTCTTATAAAGACCTCAGTTCTTTGAAATCCTGTACCTCCTCCACTATAATGCTGCACCATGAATTCACAAAGATTTCCCGGTGAGCTTAGGTGCTTCAAGAAGTAAGTCCTATGCTTTTACACAGCTCAGCTCATATAGATTAGTTTTGGATAAGCTGCATTTAAGTAGGGAAGTCATGAATACATTTCCTGAACTCTGAAAAAATCTTTGCCCTTGACCTGTTTTACCCACCTCTTTATCATGCTGACACAGCATTCTAAACTCTAAAAAATGGTAGGACCTGGAAGCCTAGTCTCTTGTGAGAGAAAATTCGGAATTTTATTGAAGAGATTATCCAAAAATATTTATTGTGAATGAGCTTTGCATATACAATATGCACTATACAGACATATTTTCAGCTGAAGTGCACATCCATTTGAAAGACAACATAGTGGTGGCCAAGACCCACCTTGACATCTACCTTGGCCGAAGTTAGGACAGTATAGTGTTTGCCAGCGTCCCCTGGCCCTGAGGCTACAGCTTTTCAATACTCAGTGCCTACTGCTTTTTGGTTCTATAACACAGCATTCTTGGAAGGAGAGGCACGAAGAATGTGTACAGACACCATCTTCATTTTGCTCCATGGCTATATACTCCTGCTCCGACAAGAACAGATTTCAGGGGAAATATTGGAATTTTCAGATAGACTCAGCGAAAGAAACTTTTCACATGGAATGTTGGTGCCTATATATTCTTGAATTATTTAGAAATTCATAAAGAAAAAAGGGGGGAATACAAGCACTATTTTTAGAAAGAAGGAAAGAAAATGGAGAATCAACAAAATGGAATTCTCTGGCACTTAAAGAATTCTTACCCTCCTGCCAACAGGCTGCATGAAAGTATCGCCCCAAAGCTGTCCCATCCATCTGAACTCTGATCAAACTGGTGGAAGACCCAGGATCAGTGAGGCTCTGATGACCTCTCCAAGAAGACCATTGTTCAGGACATTCCCTCTTATTCTCTTACTGTTGAAAAAAGACGAAGTTTAGGATTATCTCCCAAAATACAATGATTTCAAGTATAAGTTTAGGAAGAATCTTTCTGCATTCTATAAATTATTTCCTGCAGTTTATAAAGGTTGGTAGTCCTCAGGCAAACAGATGCCACAGCTATGGATGAAGACATAGCAGGAAATATATAAGGGACTTAGCATTTGTTTTGTCTCAGTTTCAGGGAAAAGCAAACCCCGTCTTAGAAAGTAGGTACCTATTAAGATGTGTCCTCTGTGCCCTATATTGTATTACTTCTGTCCTCATTATTACTTAATGCCTAATATTATCCCCTCTCTCTGCCTCTCCCCCCACCCCAGCTCCCTTCCCGCCTTGCTCTCCTCCCTCCCTGTTCCCTGCTCCCTGCTGCCCCTCCTCCCTTGCCTCCCTCCTTCTGACATTTATTGAGTATATATATACAGTCCTTGGTTAGGGAACATAAATGTCACAATTTGAATAGCACTAACATTGCATATATCATCTTGATTTCCAAGGGCATTAGGATCGCTTTTAAAATTTCTCTCTTGTAACTCAAGAGTCAGGAGGAAAATTGGTTAATAAAGAAAGTGAGCAGGGGAAGAAGTGTGGATCCCCCTGTAAAGTAAGGCATGCTGCTGACTTGACATTCTCTTCCCAGAGTCTCCTCCCTGGAGGCCCTTTCATGTGTGATGCTGGTTTTTCAAGGCTGTATATTAGAAGACAGTGTGTAATTTCATTAGCTTGTGGAAGTCAAGTTTTACTTTCCAGTGTCATGGATCTCAGGGAGAACCACAGGAAAGGGTCAAGAAGCATCAACCCACTTTGGAGCTGGTCCTGAGAGTGAACAGAAGAGAGTCTGTGGGCTATGGATTCCCCTCAGGCAGGCAGAAACGACCCCCCTCAGTTCAGTTATATCCATCCCCCTAATTTCATGGAGGCCTCCTGATGGACTTGAGGGTTGAAATACTTTGAGAACAACATTGGTTGCGTTGCTGCTAAGAAAGAAGCAATCCACAGGCTGGGGGATGATCAAGGGTAACCCCAAATTAATTATTATTAAAACAGGCAAACAAACAAACAAAAGTGAGCTATGAAAGCAGCCACAAAATGTCCATGGGCTAATGGAATCCTTTCTTTTCCGGTGTCCTTGTTTGAGGATGATGCACATGCTGCCCTCATCCGCCCTTCACTCCCTCTCCCTTCACCTTCCAAGAATTTGTCAACACTCATGACATGCAGTGGGATAAATTAGGAGGAAGGGCCACCAAAGTCCCTGTTGCTGACGACTTTTGGAAGCCTGCATGGCCAAACCGCAGAGGCCAACAGGCAGAGGAGGGGCCATCTGCATGAGATACTGTGGGTGGGGGGCGGGAGAAGGGTGAGTGTTTGACTTCCTGTGACATACCATTGGACTGGGAGAAAATGCGACTGCCCCCCCACACACACACCCTCTTTCAGCCCGTGGACGCTGCTGCTGAAGTTCCACACCTTTCCTCCAGCATCATCCCTGCGCCTCTCAGCACGTCCTCCCAGGAATGCAGTGAGGTCACCCCTCCGGGTGGTCATGGCCAGACGGAAGGGGAGGAATGAAACGAATGTGCTTATTGTTCTTTAAAAGGTCATTCTCAACCGAGTGCAGCAATTTCCATTTTCTGGAAAGAAATGTTGATTGAATTAGGAAAGAGTTGGTTCTTCACATGAGAAGCTATCCTCGCAGCTGATAAATGGCACAAGGATGCTGTTCACTGAGCTTCTCAGAATGGCATTTTACAACCTCCCCGGGGCTCCTTCAAAGAAGAGACACTCTGTGGGTCTCGGGGCGCTTATGGGTTTGAAGAACAAGAGGAACACAGCCGAGTAGGGGTACACTGCTCCACCAGCTCCTCCTAAGGGCCAAGCACCAGAGCCTGCCAGGCTGACAGTAGCTGGCTGACAGTGTCCCTGCCTCTGACACCGGAAGTGGGCACGGGTGACAAGGCTGTGCACCCGGCAAGATGATTGCAGTGACAGCCCGAGGCCATGGGGTTCTCATGCGGGCCCCAGTGTGTGCAAACTTGGAGCGACCTCACTCTCCACTGCTCCTTTTTCTCCCCGGAGGCCCGCGATGGCCCTCCTCTCCCCCTCCTCTTGATCGGGTCTCAGCAGCCTTGGCCTCCTGGCTTTCCAGAGGTGAAGGCCGAGTGGAGCCGGAGCTCACCTGGAGGCCAGTGAGGTCACGTGTGCCTCCAAGAGTCTGCACGTCCCCCCAGGAGCGGCCCTGCGTCAGTGTGCAGGGAGGGCATGCTGTCCTCACCCTTTTCACCGACACTCCATCCACACGGGCAGAATTAGTTACATTTGATACCCTCCAAAGTTCAATATATCAGCTGTTTCTGCTTAGTTGTTCTAAAATAGCCTTGAGAAGGGAAATATTCACTCAAACACGTTATTTGTCATTTAATGATGGTAAATTGCTGGCTGTAAAGAAAATGGATTTGATTTGTCTTTCAAAACTGCCAACTCTGATTTTAAAAGGGCATCCATTCCCACTAAAATATGAGTTCTTTTCTTTATTTTTCCTTATGGCATTTTGTTTCTTTCCTTCATTTCCGTGCCTGTCCCACTTTGCACAGCCAGCCTATTCTTCTATCCATCCATCTGCCCATCCATCCATCCATCCATCCATCCAACCATCCATTTGCTTGACAGATATTTATGGAAGACCCTCTGTTCTGAGTGCCCATGATAAAACAGGAAGCAGGACACACCAGACTGCGCCCTCGGGGAATTTAGAGTCTCACTCTAACAGTGCCTGTTTGCCCGCCTTCTCTTCTTGCTAATGTCAATGTCCTCCATGCTCAATCCATAGGAAAGCTGGCCTCATCCTTTCCCAGTTGGGGGATCTCAGCAGTTGGTGCAATGGCCTCCTCCAGGAACCCAAGATAAGCTTGCGACGTGGCTCCCTTAAGTACCTGGGCTGCCGCTACAGCGAGATCAAGCCCTACGGACTGGACTGGTCAGAGCTCAGCCGAGACCTCAGGAAGACATGCGAGGAGCAGACCCTGAGCGTCCCTTACAACGACTATGGGGACAGCAAAGATATCTAGCGCCATGATGCCAGACGGTGGCTGCCAAAAGGAAGCAGGAAGAGAGGAGAGGAACATCTGGGTTGGTCTGTGGATTTTTAATATTTTTTAATGGAACATTAAAACCTCTAAACCAGGGAGAGACAATACCTAAACCAGGGAGAAATTGACCCTCGTTCCCTGTAAAACTTCTTTGGTATGACATTCTCCATCTGCATGATCAGTAGACCTGCCAACCAGCAGCCTCATGCAGTGCCATTTCTCTTTAGGGGATTATTTGGGGGCTTGTTTGACAGTTGATTTGCTTCATTTTTTTTCTCCCCAGGAGGTTCATCACAATGCTCAAGAGTTCTCTCATGCTTCCCATGAAAGGTCTATCAGGTTGAGGCATCCGGGGCTCAACTGAGTCCCTTACAACTGGGGACAGAAATGAGATCAGAAAGCCACCAGACTGGCCTCAGGCCCCAGCCTCAAGCATTCCTCAGGAAGCATCTCACTCTGAGAGCCTAAGCTCTGCTCACAGAGAAAGATGACCACGGGAAGATTGGGAGGGTGACCTCTGTTAGGCCTCATGGCTCCCCCCCAGGCCTTTCTGTTGCTCGATTCACACCTCACAGATGAACCGAGCCTCCGATATGGGTCCCAGCTGGCCTTTGGGATTTTTAGGTCCTCACCCATTTTAAGACAGGATTGGGATGAAATCTCCCTCTGGCAGATCTCTGCCTCTCCTCCAAACAGTATGATATCTTTAGGAGGCAACAAAACTCTACCTGTCAAATGCGCCTTCAAAACAGTCTACTGGGAAGCTAGGGAGTTAGCAGTCACATTCTAGAAAAGAAGTAGAGTTGATTGTTCTAAAAACTCCCGTGCCTCAAGATGATGTTCTCCAGACCACCAGTGTACATGGCATTCCTGGATTCTCTTTAGTGCCCGCATGACTCAGCCTGGACAGTGAAGTCTTGGCCGATGCCTCCTCTGGTCCAGGAGGAGCTGATATGAGACCTCCGTGTCAGTGTTTTAGTGAACTAAAGCTATTACTGATCACAAAACACTAGTGTCCATTTCTCCCTTGCTAAATTTGCTTAATTATGTTGCTAATTTTGCACATCCTTTCTCTGGATGGCCATCCACAGGAGAATGCCTCTGTTTTCACCTCCCGTCTAGCTGCCAGAAGTAGCAGAGGTTCTGTGTGGGCAAGCCCCCTGACCACAAGTAGGGTCTGGGCCCTTGCTTCCGCCCACCATCCCAGTGTCATTGCCGTGGCTGTAAGTGGCGGCCCAGCTGATAGGAAGCCCAGCCTTTCCACAAGAGCTCTGAGGGCCATGTCGCCCAGCAACGGCCTTAGCTGTCCTCACACACCTCAGAGGACTGAACACACACTCTCAGCCACCCTGCCTTTGACCAGGGCTCCTCGTTTGGCAGCACAAGAGAAAGGTCAGAAAAGAGAGGCAGGATCTATATTGAACTATATTGATTATGTTCTAAACAGTCATGACAGATCACATGTACCAGACGCTACTCTGAGCACTTCACAGGTCACCCATGACAGTCCTCACAACAGCACCCCTGCACCCCCACCACCAAGGAAGTGCTATTCTTGGCTCCATTTCAGTGATGGGGAACCTGAGGCAAGGAGCGGTCACACACTTGCCCAAATGCCTCCTCTACCCCCATCTGGGCCTCAATACAAATTCAGGCTGTCGGACTCTGGAGTTACCTGCCTCGAGCCTATGCCAGTGTGCCTGTAGCATGCCGCTGTCCCATCTCTGAGCTCCACAGGGACCTGGCTAGGCAGCTGTCCCTATGCCAGGCCCGCCTGGGACAGAGGTGCCCACAGTACATCCCTACCCCTGCAGCTAGAGCACCCTTTGGGACTGCCAGGTCTGATGGGTGAGCAGCCCCCCCAGGGGCCAGGGAGCAGAGCCTGGGGAAGACTGCAAGTCCAGGTCGCCTGGCTCCCCTCCCTGCTCCTTTCCATAGACAGCCTGGAAGATTCATCTGGCATTCTGGAATGAACCTGCCTCCGAAATGCCTCCACTTCCAGAGCGAAAGCCCACAGAGACCTCGGCCTTCCCACCGCGGTGAGTGCAGGGCCTCGGGTAAAAGGCCTAAAGGGACATCCCTGACCGGCAGCGGAGAGGCCCCGCCACAGGCAGCAGGAGCCCGGGCAGCGGGCCAGGCCGAGGGAAGCACGGTCTATGCTGCTGCTGTCTTGGCCCCGCCGCCCCCGTTTTCAGATCTGCCCAGAACACCTGCTCCACAGTGCACAGTGGGAGGCTGCGCTGCCTTCCTGCCCCCTCCTGCAGAGTGAGGACAGAGAGTGGTGTCAGGGTCACCCTTCTTCATCCCCTCCTTCCCTTTTATTAACATAAAGGAGGCTCATTCTCTCCCAGTCTCCTCTCTGTCCCCCAAGCCCCTCCAGCTTTTCATCCATTTTATCTTTTTCTTCTCCGGGCCCACCCTTCCTCCTTCATCCCTTCCTTCTCCATGACTCTCTTCCTCCCTCCCTGTCCCCTATGTCCCCTCATGGCACATGTGCTTGCATGCACACCTCCACACATGCACACACAGTACACACACACAATGAATACTTTGCACACACCTGCATTATACACAACACACACATTATACACATACATACATATACACACTATACACGTACACACACAACATACACATACATATACATTGCACACACATATCCACATTCACTATACACACAGCACACCTGCACTGTACACCTACATCACACACACGTTCTATACACACACTGTACACGCTATACACACATGCATTATATACACACTACATACGCATACACTATAACACGGTACATACATACATTACACGTACATGCACTATCCACATATATAACACACATACTATACACACAGCCTCTGTGGCTGGGTCCCGTGGACTTTCAGGTTAAAAGTAAGGCCAATATGAGTGAGGCAAGAGTCAGTGTTTTAAGTTCCTCTGAGGATTTAACTGCAGGATTTGGCCCTGGGAAGACACCATCGGTCGCATCCTGATGACAGTTCCCAGAGCTTGCCTGGAGGGACCTATCCTGACTAAAAAAGGTGACGTACTAGACCAGTATTAAACCTCAAACTTCCAAGCTGCCAAACAGGTCTTAGGGAGTCACTTATACCCACCACACGCACCCAGCTCTGGGCTCCCCACAAGACCACGGTGTTTCCTCTTGAACATATGTGACCTCCCGGAATAGCATTAGACCTTTAACTGAGTATGTGACTATTTTCCACAGTTTGGTCCATTTGTTATTTTTAGTTAAGCACACTTCTTGATACTCAAATGTTCTATTAAAAAAAAAACTGAGCGTGAAGAAACCCCACTTTCTGACTATAGAAGGAAGAACAGATATAATGTGACCAACTTCAGGTGTAACAGTATTGTTTCAAAGAGAATTATTCTACAAGTATAAAAACAAAAACATGGAATAATCAACTAAATAATAAACAAAGCTGTTAGTAAGTGTCAGGTGTGTGGATATTACTGTGTGTCTTCTGAGAATTCGAATGATCTGGTTGGACCCATGGGATGGGGACAGTACCAGTCTTAAATGGTCAGATGCCAGATAGGCTCATAGCCTGTTATCCTAACTAAAAAAAAAAAAAAAAATGCAAATTCTAAACATGTTGTTAGTAGTAATGGTTCTCATCCTCTCTATCACCATTCAGACAATTAGCAATGAAATGTATTGAGTGCGTATCTGCTGTATTTCCCACACAATGTGCAGTGCCAAGGGTATGCTGGTGAGTCAGACAAGCTCATTCTTCATCACAGAACCTGGCATTTTACAGGGAAAGCGAGACATCGAGCCCATCATTACCAGGGTGAAGAGAACCAAGGCAGAGAAGCACAGGACAATGGGAGTCACTAAAATTGATCTTTGGGCGTCTCAGGCAAATGTCGCAGAAGGCCCCCCTGACATCTTCCTGTCTTGTACTCTGTAGAGGTATTTGGGTTAGGCTGGCTCTTGTGAAATGCTTCGTGCTGGACAGCCCAAGCGTTCGACCACTTTTGTCCTCTCTACCAAGTGACTTGAAATAGAGGTTCTCTCTGCTGCCACCAAAACATGTGAGTCCCTTTATCCTCAAAACCCAGAGATGAAGTACCTGCATGCTCAGTGGGCCTTCTTGCAAAGTAATGATGAGAGTACTTTTCCCCACGCAAGCAGGGACTACTCAAAGGTGAGTACTGTGACGGTCTTAAAATGTGACCACAAATTCTTTGAAACCCTTCCCCTCTAGAAGTGTGTTCTACTGTCTCTCCCCTTGAATCTGGGCAGGGCAGTGACTATTTTAAACCAATAAATGGTGATGGAAGTGACACTATGTGACTTCCCAGTCTGAGTCCAGAAGGCCTTGGGGCTTCTGCCTCCTTCCCTGGAACTCTTGCTCTCAGAGCTCTGAGCCATCACAGAAGAAATCTGCTGCCACCATGCTGGAGAGGTCACATGTCAGCCCTGTGGTCCACAGTTCCAGCTGAGGCAGCCTTCTAGACATTCCTGCTGAGGCACCAGACACGTGACTGAAGCTGTTGGACCCTCAAGAGTAGTCTCTCTGCCAGCTGCATACCACCCAGCAACTTCTATCAATGTCACATGGAAGAGAAGAATCACCCTGCCAAGGCTTGACTGAATTCCTGACCCCGGAATTATGCAACATAATAAAACAGTTATTGTTTTAAGCCGCTAAGGGGGTCTGCTAAATAAAGGGGATCTGATCAGGGCCAAAAAAGTCTACTCTGTCCAGCCAGTGATGGAACATCAAGGTTGCCCTGCCCTAGACCTGAACTCACCATGAAGAGGAGAGGAAAATGTATGCAGGGTGGGCTGCACATGCATAACATGCCTCTCGGCAGTAAAGTGAGTCTCTGCTCCAACAGAGGGGAGCAAAAAGAAGGGTGGCCTCTTCATCCCAATACATCTGAGCAGGCGAACCTCAGGAACTTCCCCGAAAACCCCAGTCAAGTTGCAGGGGAGGGGCTGGGGGGGGGTGCAGGGAAAGGACGATTGTTCCAGGGCCAGCACGAGAAAGAGAAGGGAGAAGACAATTTGGAATAAAAAAGAAACCTTGGAAGGGAAGGGTTTCTTCCAATGACTTTGTTTTTCTGTCCCTTTGCATTTGGAACTTCCTGGATGTGATGTGCACACCCCACACTTGATGTGTGCCAGGCATTTGTGCTAAACGCTTAACTGCATAATACTCTTCAGTCTTCACTGCAATCTGGTAAAATTAATACACTTAAGTAGGAGGAAGCAGAGTCCCGGAGACTTGAATTGACCTGCCCAAGGCCACAGCTAAGTGGAAAGACGGGCATTTCCACCGAAGGCTGTCTGACTCTAACCATGGCCCCGCACTGCCACTGCTCCCCATGAGTGTGTTTCTCACTGAGTTTCCTAGAAACGGAAAAACTCCTCCCGTTGAGACTTTTGCAGATCACCGGCCTGTCACCCTATCTCGGGCAACAGGAGAGAACGTGGCTGGATGCCGGACCGGTACAAACTTACCACTACCATTAAGAAAACAACTCAGTGTTTTCTTGTTTTCATAAGCCAAGCACATTGTTCCTTTTTGTTTGTTCTTGGCTTGGTTTTATGTCTGTCACGAGTGTAATGCAGAGCTCAAAAATGGTGACTCTTGCTCTGTATGTTTAGTGTAGCCCTTTATTGGGCTTTAGTGGGACCTTGGCCTGTCCTCCTCAGTGCTCTGCACACATCCAATACTTGAGGGAGCACTTGGGGAAATAGCCTCCCGCCCTTCAGGGCAGTGTGGATTGACTTGATTCAGGCGCAGCCTCCAACCCTGCTCCCATCATCATTTCAGCTGAATCAGTAAATGAGCAGTTTAGTGTGAGAGGGAACCTCAGCATTCTCTAGCATAGCGGACAGTTTCTCTACAGATACATGGGGGACTCTAGAACTCGGCTGTTTGCACTTTTCCAAAGTGAGGGGGGAAGATCCTCCTTGTTCTGGGGCTTTGCAGCATAAGCTATAATTGGATTGATTCCCAGAAGAAATGGACAGGTCTTGACATTACATTTCTTCACCAAAACTGCCCTTTGTTGGAGTTTATGAATAGTCCTGTTCACCCAGGGCTATAGTCAAGGTAAATCCCTTACTACCTTTCCCAGTAGGAGAACCTCAGCCATGTTCTGTGCTCAATAATTAGGAGCAACTTCTTTTGTTTAGAAGGATTCAGATGCCAAGTGACCCTGAGGCTATTGCTGCCTGATGGATCTGACGGTGCTCTGAGACCTACCCACATAGAGATGAAACCACCTCACACAATGCCCTGGTGATGTCGCAGGACCTAAGTGCCCAAGAGTAAGACGGATTGGACATACTTAATTGCATTTGTCCTGGTGACTATTGAGTATAACATGGAAATACCTACACTCCTCAAAAGCCAACTGCCTGTTTGTCCTCAGATCCATTTCTCAAACTTCTGCGGCTCTGCTCAGTGTCATATGGAGTTGACTCTTATAAACTACATTTCTCAGACTTCCTTGTCAGTAGGCTTCCAATCCAATGAGAAAATGGAGGCACTTAGGGAAGAAGACAAACCAAGATGCTTCCCCTCTCTGACTTGGATAGTGTCTCTAGTGTCTCCTTCATGATCCCAGATACCTGTCTGGGCTCAGACTTCCTCCAGCAAACTCCTGCTATGCTTTCAGCTCCCATCAGGTGGCTCTGACTCCTGAACTTCAGCAACACAATCTCCTTAAAGTAGGAGCTGCTTCCTGCTGCTGCTCATCTTGGGTTGCCCCACGATTCTCTATATGCCTTTTCTGTTATTCCAAAACCTTTCTAATTTGAATTTCCTCAACTGAGTTACCTAAAATGTGTGTTGCTTTCCTGACTGGGTCTTAACTAATACATACTTCAAACTAAAAATTGCATATCCTTTGGTACAGGAATTTTGTAACTTTTTAGAGTTTGAATGATGATCTGGAAGATGAAATGTTGATGCTGAAAGTGAAGATATTTCTGTGAACTCTAAAATTGATTACAGGGTCAGAAAATAGGTTTCTACTTGAGTGCTAGATTTGGTCAAGCGGTAGTGGCTGCCTGTGATTTGAAAAGGATTCTGACGATGGATCTGTATCTGGCCAAAAAGAGTGGTGACATGGGTATGGAAATGGTGAATAGCAAGATGCACCCCATGCATCTGTTCTCCCTGATTGGTAGGAACAGAATAGGCACAGTTCTGAAATCAGAACTATCTAGGAAAATCTATTATGTATACATCATATATGTATATATGACATAACGCATATGTGTATATATGTATATATGAAAATTATGATATATCTGAAAGTGAATTTGTTCATTGTGCATTGATAATGGAAATAGAGTGAGAATAGAAAACACATTTCTGAGACTTTCTGGCCCCATTACTTTCTGGCTAGACTTTCTGGCCTCTAGCATTTCATTTACCTTTTCTGAATTGTCATTTTCATTTCTAAATCTGTATGTTAAGATAGTCTTAATGGTATTAATTTTGTATCTCAAGTGGTGTAAAACAAAGGATTCCAAAGTCTTCATCATTTCAAAGTTTCTGCCGCTTGAGCAGTGTATCAGTTAAGATCCAGTTAAGATATCAACAGAGAGAATTTAATATAGGGTTTTTTAAAAAAGATTGGAGTATCAGAAAAGCAAAAATACTTGAAACTCCAAGATAACACAAAGGTATTAATAATAACTATAGGAAGTGGCCTTTCCTCTTGGGCTAGAAGAACAAAGGAGTGAAGTTGATTTAATAGTAATTGGATGCCCTCAAGGAGGAGACGCTATTTGCCCAGTGCTGGAACTTGCATGTGGGATCATAATGAGGCTGGTCCCTTAAGCACGCAAAGATAATGGTAAGTGGAACCAGGGGCTGTTGCCACGGGAAGGTGGCATAGACACAAACAGCAAGCAGCCGGGAAGGAAACAGTCCCTTCTCCCTCCGCCTTCCTTCCAGTCTCCTTTACTGTCCCCTGGACAAAACCTAACATGGAGTTGAGGGACAGAAAGGAAGCCTTCCAACAATGGCATTACAAAGCTGAATACAAAGGGTGGGTTGAGCTGAGATGGGATAGCTTAATAGCTGCACAAGCAGCCTGAGGCTTGATCCAGATGATGCTTTTGAAAGCACTTAGCACAACACCCGGAGCTCACCCAGTAAGCAACACCAGCGGCGCTCCCGGGCCCTCTTCAGTGCTCCTTAGATGCTGAAATGGAGCCACATTTGCTCCCGATATTATCCTTTCCCAGTAGCTTTCTCTTGACGACATCGGCAAAATAGAGTAGCAAGAAAACATGTTCCGTGTTCATATTATGCTTTCTTTTTTAGGTGACAAAGATCCTTCCATATATTTGAAATGGAGCTTCCTCTAAGAGGTTTTATCATTGTAAGTGAGATTTCCTTGGTTGCCAAAGGTGCTGTTGTTTTTAACAGCAGGTAACATGTATTTGTTGCTTATTA